GAATGACCAGGTGTGAGACCAAGCCTTTGGTAGTTCAGCTATCTAGAAAGCACCAAAGATGCTTTGATATGTAAAAACACATTACATTTTTATAAACTATCCAACTGATCTTGGGAAGGTATTTTTAAAGAAGAATCATCCCTAGCTTAAGACAGAAGCATAGATGCTTGGGAACCATGAATGGTTTGTAGCTTGGCTGGCTATTGATCAGAGTGACCACACACTAGTACTAAATAAACACAACTGTAGGTATCATTATAAGGAATGTTAGCTATTTAAGAAATGAGGAACTTCTGTTGTTTTGTTTTTAAGTAATCAAGGGCATGACAGAGCACAAAATACAGAAAAGTTATGCTGATCAGATATAGAATATCTGCTATTTGAGCAGATTAACAGAAATTAAAAATAACTTTCACTATCTCTTATTTTTTAAAAAAAGATTTTTATTTATTTATTTATTTGCGAGAGAGTACCAGCAGGAGCAGAGGGAGGAGCAGAGGGAGAAGCAGACTCTGCGCTGAGCAGGGAGCCAGACAGACGTGGGGCTCGATCTCAGGATGCTGGGATCATGACCTGAGCTGAAGGTAGACACTTAACCAGGTAAGCCACACAGGCACCCCTCACTATCTCTTATTAAGAAGAAACTGAGGATATGAGTGCTGTCTGGCTGCGACACATCACCCCATTGATCGCCAGAGTTGATTCGGCTGATCTAGCTGGCTACGTGGGTGTCCCCTTCCTCCCTCACTACTCCTTATGTGTCCTGCCTGGAAGCTGAGCGCAGTGGAAGAGGATGACCTTCTCCCATAGAGAAGGACCATTATTGGATCGAGGGTATATGAGAAGCTTCACTCTCCTGCTAGATCCTCCCAAACAAGATCCATTTCTAGGTCCATTTCTGGGGGAACGCAATGTAGTCAAACTTTCAGAACTCCAGACACATCCAAATGAGGCACTACATGTGGCAATCTGCCTTTCTAAAAAAACAAAAACCAGAAACAAAAACAAAAACAAAAACAAACTGAATATTCCAAGGCCATTTTGTCATTTTAACATAGTGAAAAACAAAACAAAATTCTACTCATGCATTAATGTAACAATTGCCAGAAAGACCTTTTTAAAGTCTTGTGAGTAAGCCCATTAAAACAGAGCCAGTTTTGTCTAAATTTTAACATATTTCATTGCTTCCTTCTAGACTCATTATTTGTCGGTATTATAAACCAAGGAAACAAAGTTTTCTTTTCATCAGACTTCTACAATTTACCCATTCAAAATTTGTCTCTTGCTAATCTTTCACATTCAGGCATAGTTTTTTTTTTTTTTTTTACTTCAAGATGAAATTGCTTTTTTCCCCTTGATAACAAAATTGCACTCATAATCTTATTCTGTATTTGTATTTCTTTACTACTTCAATTCTTAAGATAGTCTGAATGGCCCATATAAGTTACAATGTTTTTTAGGTTTATGCATTTATTTGAGAGAATTGGCATTGTTAGAAACTAGATTTTTCTTCTTGAAAAATGATATGTTCATACATTTGTTCATATCTTATTTTGTGTATTTTAAAAAGATTTTTTAAGTCTTCATCATATTGAGTAAAATGGGATCCTACCCATTTCTCTTTTTTCCTCCTTTATTGAGCTATAATTGACCCTTAACATAGTATGAGCTTTAAGGTGTACAACATGTTAATATGATACATTTACAAATAGCAAAGTGATCACCTCCATGGTATCAGCTACCACCTCCATCCTCTCACATAGTTACCTTTCTTTTTCGTGGTGAGAACATTAAGATCTACTCTCTTAGCACATAAATCACATCTTTTAAGCAATGTAACTACCTTCTATTTCCTCAAGTAGATAACTGCAGGCAAGTAACTGAGTATGGTTTGAAAGATACAAACATTTTACAGACCAGCAAAGCAAGCATTGTAAAACCTCTTATGGCTACACATATCCTATTTGCATTTCTTAAAGTGCCAAAATTGAACGTATACGTTAATATACCCCAAAGGTTTATCCACTCGCAAACATGTAAAAGTAAGAGAAAAAGGAGTGTGTGTGTGTGTGTGTGTGTGTGTGTGTGTGTGTGTGTGTGCATGCACGCAAACCATGCTTGGTGATGAATGTTTTTGTATTCTATCTTCCTTACAAATTATTCAGGCAATAATTTAATATCAGTCTAAATTCCTAGAGTGTAATGAAATACCTTAGAAATTACATTTAAGCTTATATATTATAGAATAATAGAATCATTGATAATACAAACAATTTAAGAAATTCAGATTAACTACAATCTCCATGATAAGACATAAAATGTGCTCCATCACTCTATTAGCTCATCTCATTTTATCTTCTTCACGGTTCCACAAATTGATATTGCTTTACTTTTTTATTTGTTTGCCTATTTATGGTGATCATTTCCCCCACTAGATGTCAAACGATAAAGAAAATTTGTCTTCCTCGGTACCTAGAACATAAATGAGACTTCCAGTGAATAGTTCTGAATAAAGAAATACAGAATAAAATCCTTACACACAATAATTGTATCAGATAGAAGGAATAGGTCTCATTTTACTATTTATTTATTTATTTATTTATTTGACAGAGAGCGAGCACAAGTAGAGTGAGGGGCAGAGGAAGAAGCAGACTCCCTGTTGAGCAGGGAGCCCGAGGTAGGACTCGATCTCAGGACCTGAGATCATGACCTGAGCCAAAGGCAGATGCTTAACTGACTGAGCCACCCAGGTGCCCTCATTTTACTGTTTTATGAGTGAGGAACTGAGGCATCGATGATCATTTAGCTACTTAGATAGACTCATAATTTTGGTTTCCTGGCTTCCAATCCAATTTACCACATTATTTCCCCAAGCTGAATAAATGTACTTGTGCAAATGAAAAATATATGAAAGAAGAAAATTCTTGCATAGGTGTGATTCATTGAGAGGGTTTCTGAGATAAATTGTATCCTAGTGGGGACCCTGGTAGGCAGTATTTTGGTAGAATGCTGTTAGGCTACAACTTCTTTCCATCAAATCCCCTCCCCCCAACTATCAGGGGGATCTCTGGTAAGTATTATTATTATTATTATTATCATTTTAAATTCCTTTTTTAAAAAAAGATTATTTATTTATTTGACAGACAGAGATCACAAGTAGGCACAGAGACAGAGGAAGGGATGCAGGCTCCCCGCCGAGCAGAGAGCCCGACACAGGACTCGATCCCAGGACCCTGGGATCATGACCTGAGCTGAAGGCAGAGGCTTTAACCCACTGAGCCACCCAGGCGGCCCTATTATTTTAAATTCTTGATGGTTTCCCTTTGGAGTACTTGTAATTGAGGACCAAGGAAGTGAAATGTAAGTTGTTCCCTTGGTTTTGCTGTAACAAAGTTTGGTGCTGAAATTGGCTATTTTCCCCCTCCTCCTACCCCAACACGGCATCCATTATTTTTCTCTTCCAAAGCTCCCTCAGCAAAATCAACCCAGCTGAGACAGAGCTAATGTAGTATGTTTCCCATATGTTATTATTCAATTTTCTCTTTTGGCTCACTTTTGGGTGCCAGGGCAAATCATTATTAAAGAGGTACTGAAAAACTGTGACCTGGGAAAGGCAGACTGTCTTGCTAGTGCTGGCTCCAGCCCTGGGGTTCTGCATTCTCTCCGATGGAAGCCCGCATTCACACCGGGCACAGAGAGTTACCAGGTGTCCATCCAGAGTAATCCCCTACTCCTTCCACTAACCAGGGAACATGTTGTATTAAATTGAGACTGTCCTCCTTAACTTTTTTTTTTTTCCACTGAGAGTTTTGTATTAAAATATTCAGAATTGTGTGATACTTGTTTGTTTTTAAGTTTCCACACGTCTCTTTTGATTAAAACATGTTGGGTGACATTTCCTAGAATTTTTGTCAAATCATTTCTCATGTCAATTCCCTTCATCCTCATTGTTTCTGCTCTAAAAAAACTGGCATCTGGTAGTGATGATTTAGATGTCATTTCTGCTGATCTCATCCCCGACTCAGAGAAGACAGTAGGGGCTAAGTTCAGCCCCCACACCATATCTGATTTAGGCCTGGGAAGGCGTATAGCTAGTTCTCAACTTAGTGGGCAGAGGAAGAAACTGACACACTACTGGGCTCCAAGGCTCCTCAAGGTCACACTGATGGTCAAGGCCTGAGCTCCTGTTTTTTAGAGCAAGACTGAAAAGCACTCGACTGCTGAATTAAAAGCTGTGGGTACCAAGATGGGACCCGAGTCCCTGTCCCCAGTGCATCACAGAGGCTGCAGGAGCTCGCACAGTCGCATTGTCCAGTGTGGGAGCTGGGCCGGGAACTGCGGGGCGTGGAGTCCTCAGAAGCCAGCTCTCCCGGGCCCATGAGCACCCTGGATCGGGCCATCTCACTGCTGTCACAAAAACGAACAGGATGCTCAGGGGAGTGTCACAGCAGACAACCAACCAGCTTCCCACTGGCGTCTAAGTTCGTCCTCACAGCAGGGCTGGGACACAGGTGTCATTAGCCTCACTTTGCGAAGCGGCTCGTCAAGGATCCCACACTCCGTATACCGCCCAGCAGGAGCTGAGAGTCTCGGCCCCTCCCGTCCGCCAGACTTTGGCCGGAAAGGAACTTGGTCCGCCCGACCCTCCGTGTTCACGGTAAGGACAGCGGAGCCCCGACGGCGGAAGAGATCGCGCGGGGCTGCACGCAGTGCGTGCGGGGCCGGAGGGAAAGCCGGGGCGGCCGCGGGGGTGGGAGGGGAATCCGGGGCCGCGGAGGGGGCGGTGGGGCGGGGCGGGGCGGCGCGGCTGCGGCCGGGGGCCCGGGCTTTCCGGGGGCGGTCCCTGGCGGCCGCGCATTCCAGCGCCGCCGAGCGCAGCCCCGGGGCCGAGCCGCGCGTCCGGGCCGCTCCTGCGCGCTCCTTCCTCCGCGGGCTCCGAGGGCCGGGCACGTGCCGCGCCGAGACGCCCCCCGGGGCTGGACCGCCTCCCGCCGCAAGCCCGGGGAAGCGCTGGAGCCGTGCCTTGCCCCGAGCCTCCGGCAGACCCTGCGCGATCCGGCTGCGGCGGGGACCTCGGGCTTTCCTGAGGAGAGGCTCTGCGGATCCCGGGGTGAGTGGGGCTCCGTTCTCCCGTAGTTCCTACCCCAGCGTCCTCCCGACTGTCCTCTCCGTCCCCCTCTTCTGCCTCCTTCCTTCCCTGTCATCACTTTTGCGTTCCCCTTTTCTGTTTTGTTCAGCCCCGAACTTGCCAAAGCCACCTTCTCGGCCGATCTGGGGCCTCCCGGGAGCCGCCGCTCGGTGGGTGAGCCCAGCCCCGCGGCCGGCGGCTTCTCCCAAAGCCCCGCGTGGGAGGCACCAGGAGTTTGGAGTGGGGTGTGGGTTCCCTTGGTCCCGCACCAGCAGTTTCCCCATCCTGTCTCGCGGCCCTGTTTCTCCATCTGTGAAAGGGAGAAAATAATCTTTTGCGTACAGAAATCAAATGAGAGAGGGGGTGTGCAAAGCATCATGGAGAGGAGCCTTCCTTCCAGGTGCCCTCCTCCTCCTGCCTCCTTACTTCGGACTTGGTTGTTCCAGTCGTGGGTTCTCTTGCACCCCTTCTCTCCCCACCCCTTCTCTCCCCACCCCTCCACAAATTCCTTGAGGGTGGAGACTGTCTCTCCGTGGCCCATCTCCGAAGCCTCCTGAACACTTGGCCCAGGACCTGGCAAATAGGTGCTCAATACTGTTCACAGTGTGGAGGAACGAGCGGTGTAAACCTTGAAAACCTGCACAGTTGTGGGAGGTTGTTATTTTGAGTAGCGGGGCTGGACTCCTATTCCTGCAGCCGCACCCTTTCTTCCTGACTGACCCTGGTCCTGCTGGCACCCCGGGTTGGGGGGGGGTCGGTTCTCAGGGGTCTTTCTCTATTGAGTCCTCAGAGTTCTTGGCGGTGGTAGTGACCGCATCTCAGACATTGACGTCTCAAAGATTCCTTGAACAACTGCTAGGACCTGTGGTACCACCGCAGTGGGCAAATAAGAAGGCTTGCAAATGCCCGAATGGGGCTTGGGGGTGGGGGTGGGGTGGGAAGGACAAGTTTCTGGAAGTCTGGAGACATTCGGAGTCACTTTGATGAGGCATTTTCCCCATCTTGACCCGGCTCTCCAGGTCTGTAAAATGAAGTAGGGATGGAACAGCTGGGTGGCTACGGCTGGGCGTGATGTGCTCTCTTGGTTCCGTGGGCCAGCCAACTGTCCCGTGAGTACACGCAAGACAGCCCAGCCAAGCCCCAGGACATCATGTACTTATGCAGCAGTGACCGAAAAAGCTGAGGAGAAGCACTTCTCCACCGCAGCAGGGACCTCCTGTTTCCAGTTGTCCCGGGGTTATGAGTCATGCCACAGAGCTTACAAGTCATGCTCTCTCAAATGTTCCAAACAGTGACCTCTCAGGGCATCCCAGCTGTGGGCTCCACTGCATGAAAGGTCTGGGGATCCCCTGTCTCTGGCATAGCCTAAGAATCACTGAGCTGGGGTGAGGTGTTTGAGACATAAACCAAATTAGAGACTTTGGGGGCCTCCTGTGGTTGGGTCACATATGGGACCCAGGTGAGACAGGCCAAGGGAGTATGTGGCGGCCTCAGTTTCAGGGGCTTTCCTACCTGTATTCTGATCCTTCTTTTAAAAAGCGTGCATCTGTTTCTTCTCTGTTGTTTCAGATAAAGGAAATGTCTCCAAGGAATGAGAATCTTTCTTTTCATTGGTCTTACACTGCCACTGTTGGCAGTGGATTCAAAGATAGACATGTATACTCACACTCACAGTTTGTAGGAGTAAATGCTGGTGTTACCACACCCTGCGACAATCTCCCCAATGGGCCGGACAAGCCAAATGTTGTGATGATCATACTTGAGGGACTCCTGGATGGCTCAGTTGGCTCAGTGTCGGACGCCCGATCTCAGCTCAGGTCTTGATCTCCGGATAGTGACCTCAAGCCCCATGTTGAGCCTACTTAAAAAAATTATTGTACTTGACATTTACTGAGTGCTGACTATGAGCCAGGCATTATTCTAAACATATTACATGTGTTAATTCATTTAGTCTTTACCACAATCCTATGAGGTAGAGACCACCATTCTATCCATCTTATAGTTGAGAAGATGAGCTCCAGAGAGCGTAGGGGACTCACCCGTGATCACAGGAAGCTGCAGTTTACACCCAGGTTTCAGGGCCTATGCTCTGAACCTCTGAACCTCACTGGAATTATGGGGATCTGGGTTCAGATCTTGCTTCTGTCACTTACTTGCAGGGTGACTGAGGGGAGGATAAGTAAGAATTTGACAGCCACTGGACTAGTAAATCGCTAGGAACCCTAGTATCCTTCCAACTCACTAGGGAAACAGAAACATCCAAGAGAAAAGCCCAGCGGTGGCCAAAATGGGCCGGAACTATCCCTGGCTAGCATAGTGGACGACAGCAAACCAGATTCAACAACTACACTGTGTGCTTTACATCGCTTAGTGGTGCATAGCTTTAGTTTTCTTATGTTACTGATCTGGACTCCGATTGGCCAATTGGACTGGTGAATTGCTGGTGACCAACTACATAGGATCAGAGAGATTGAAATGGAGGAGGGAGAAGGAATGACAGAGAAAACTAAACTCCCCAAGTCAGTGTCAAGTGCTGGTGACCTACGTGTGGCGTGCCTGTCACCAGTCCTAATCCCCTGCCCCAGGCTGATGCTGACAATCGACCATCGGGACTTTGCACCTTGGAATCTCTGCAAGGCTAGGTAATCCTTAACTCGGTGCTCTGGCCAGCTTCTACCAATTGATCCTGGAGATTTTTTTTCTTGCTCTCCCAGATTTTCCACCTCATTCCTCTCGGGGATGGTCAAGAAAGTAACAAATGGCAAAATGGGAGACTTTTTTTTTGATGATGCTGGGTAGCATTTTAGGAAACACCTTGGGGCTTTTAAAGACTCATCTTCTCCACTCCTTGGTCCTTTCTTTCTTTTTTTTCCTTTAATGGCCTTCAACCTAAGACTGTCCTCGACCTGGGTCAGGGCTCTAGAGGAGGTAGGGTGTCAGGGGAGCAGAGTAAGACTTGGAGAGCCAGCTGGACCTTTAGGGATCACCGTGGCCACCCTTTCCAACTGACTGATGAGAGAAGGAGGCCCAGTTTGAAGGAGGGACTTAGGCTCACACAGTGTAGTCATTTTCTTTTCTTTTTTTTTTTTAAGATTTAATTTATTTATTTGAAAGAGAGAGAGAGGGGAGAAAAGTCAGCAGGAGAAGCAGACTCCCTGCTGAGCAGGGAGCCTTATGTGGGACTCAATCCTGGAACTCCAGGATCATGACCTGAGCTGAAGGCGGTCACTTAACCAATTGAGCCACCCAGGCACCTCCATTCATTTTCTAATGCTGTAACAACATGACATCAATTTAGTGGCTTCAAAAAAATCAAATTTGTTTGTTATGGTTCTCCAGGTTAGAAGTCTGGTGTGGGTCTTTCTAGAAGAAAATCAAGGCGTTGCTGGCTGAATTTCTTTCTGGAGTCTTTAGGGGAGAATTGGTTCCTCGCTAATTTGAGCTGATGGCAGAATTCAGTTCCTGTGGCTTTGGGACCAAGGTCACCATTTCCTCGCTGGCTGTCAGCTGGGGGCCATTCCCTGCTTCTACAGACCTCCTCACTCCTTGGCTCATAGCCAACTTCCTCTGTCTTCAAAGCAAGAAACGGTGAGACAGGTGCTTCTCATGCCATATTTCTCTGACCGTCCTGCCTTTCTCTTCACTTTTAAGGACTCGTGTGATTAGACTGGGCCCACTTGGTGGTCCAAGAGAATTTCCTGATCTCAGAGTCTTTTAATCACATCTGCAGAGTTCCTTTGCTCCTGTTTTCATGACTCTGCTCTCTGAGTCATGCTTCCTTTTTCATAGTCACGGTTCCAGAGACCAGGACGTGAACATCTTCGAGGGGCCGCTGTTCTGTCTGCTGTCTGTATTTTAGGAGATTGACTGTTCCTGATCACATAGCTTTGTAGGGGAGTCACAGCACTGTGGTGCCCTTGCAGCTTTGTCACTGACCTACACTACCCCCTCCCCCTCCCAGCCCACCCCAAGGAGAGTCTCCTTTGTTGGCCCAGCACACAGCATGCACTTAGTCACTGGTAAATAACCGTGATGGATGGTAGAGGCTTAAGCAGGATGCTGTGGATTTGGCCTGGGCTTCTCTGCTGGCTCCCTGTTGGTTTCTAAGACTCTGTGATTGGCTGGGTCCAATGGGTACGTGCAGACTTGAATAGCTCTGGCTGTCTTTCTGATCTCTTTGAAATATCCTGGTGTTTTTCCATTTTTCCAGCCACAGAAGAGCCGATAGAAACTCAGGCAGGGAAAAGGTCTTTAGACTGTTAAGAATTTTGATGGAGACGGAAGCCAATTGGGGCAAAACAAGAACAGAGTGCTCCTCGGGGACCTCGGGTGATTGGAGAAAGTCCTCTGATTTGATTCATTTCACATTTTTGATAGTTGTGTGTCCTGCCCGTCCCTTCCTCTGGCCCCGTCTTTGGAACAGAGGTCCCTAGTGAGATGGCTTGGCTTGGTAAATGCTTGAGGCTATTACAGAAGGGGAAGAGGACTGTCTCCGAGGGTGAATGTGAGATGGGGATGCTCGCCCCCCCCCCCCCAGGAGTAAGCCTGGGAAATCCCCTCCCTTTTTATCAGCTTTCTGTTCTGAGAACAGAGAAGGAAAGTTTCCTACTGTAGACCGCAACTCCCCCACCCCCACACTCAGCTCCGTGCCCAGCTCTGGAGCACAGGGAATCCTAGAGAACGTTCTTCTGAAAGGTCAGCCCTCCTCCCTTCTCTGCCTGGTAGGTACAGTCTAGTCTGGGAAAGGAGGAGCCCCTCATAATCCTTGTGCATGAGCAGAGAGCCCGGAAAGTGATCAAGTTAGAGGATGCATTTTGTTTTCGAGAGGGGATTCTGACTTTTAAGATCATGGGGGTGAGGACACTTTCTGGACAGCTAAGTCCCACCGAAACTGATGTCTGAAGTTCTCCTGTCTGTACTCACCCCTCACCCATCTTAGGTTTAGTGGGCACACCCTGTGTGCCAGGGCCCGTGAGCGGTGC